TTTATGTTCACTCTGAATGACTAGAATTCTTTGGGAAATAAGTGGTTTTCTGCCTACATGATGCAATCCCTGATCTATATACATATGGAAAGACATGAACATGGGTATGTGAATATGCTATGATTACATATTTAGGCATTCTGGCCCTGCTGGTGGACCTCCTGATGGCATCTGGGTTTTGGCTACTATGTGGCACAGAGTGTTGGACTGGATGGGCCACTGGCCTGATCCAACACAGCTTCTCTTATGTTCTTATTCCTCCCCTCAGCATTGTGCTCCATTTCAGCCCTCTGACTTAGTAGATGCCTAGTTTCAGGCTGGTCCAATGTGCGGATGGTCACATTTTCATACGATCCCTGCCCAACATCCCCCAGGAAGAGATCATCATCTTGCATTTGTAAGCCATGCTGAAGGCTGAACTTGGGTTGAAAGGTAAACTATAAATTTAACATTCTCAAGGAACCCCCTGGAACAGATCCCCACAGGTACATGGCTAATCTTATGGCATCACACTGGTCGGCAGCTGGGGGTCACAGTTCACAGAGACCTCTGGCCTTTACTGGCGAGAGGTCAAGGGGAATTCTGCTATGTCCAGCTCCACCCTATATAATAATGGCATGTTCAACAACAGAGCACGTTACAGGACTCCCCAGGCAATGCAGACACATAGCCTGGAATTGGTTTAAGTGAGGATAATCCCACCAAGGTGGGGGCAAATCCCAGGGCCCACTGGAGGGCCCCTAAAGCCAGTGTCATGCTGCAGTCATGGAACACATTTACTTTTATTCCAATGCAGCTCTGCACTGTGGCCATTAGAGCAGCACAGAAGGCAGAGCACAGTAAACAGGACTTGTTCTGACCGCTGGCTGGGCCTTTCTACAAAGTTTACTAGGAGGCTGAGGGAAACGCTTGCTTCTCAGAACCTGCTAAATCCATCAGCCAAGCCAGCATTGGAGGAAGGCAAGACCAATCAAGACAAGCTACAGTCACTGCCAGGATGCAGCCTCCTAATAAGGTTATCTCCAGTGGTCTACAGTTTCCCTTTTTCTTTAGTCTACTCAGCTCCGTAGTTTGCACAGCCAGATATTGCAAAGGAGCAGCTGAGTGTCTGGTAGCAGAATTAAAAAAACAACAACTTTTAATGTCTTTCCCTTCATTTCTCTAACTCTTTC